CAGAGTAGTTCGGTGTACAATCTGTGTGTTTGCTATTCAAAGAGCTCACACACTAAGCCAGTTAATTGGGGAGGGGGAGGGTGGAGAAAAAAGAAAATTGGGTATTACAAATATTGAGGAGTTGCAAGAATTCATGATCTACTCAATTAGTATTAGAAATCTTAGTACTGATGTGACGAGTCAGTTTCAAATGTTACCCAAATAAGTGCAGCCTCTGCTATAATCGTTTATCTTGCTTACTCTCCAAACAGTGCATCATCCCACTGGTGATGCACTCTTTGCAGGTTCCTCAGGTTCTTCCTAGATTGCCATTAACACCGAGAAATGACTGTGAAAAAGACTTGCTGTCCTATAACTTTGTTTGAAATTTGCTATATTTTTAAGTCCTTTGGGATTTTAAGGGACACAAAAACAAATGTCATCCTTCATGAGATAAATACTAGGCTAAATATATGCTCATTCAAAATTCCTAATTAAGAGCTTGGAGGAGAAATTGATCATCAGCTGGTAATTTGTATTTATCCAATCAAGTGGGACAGAACTGATAGGAAAATAAAAAGCCCAACCATAATAATACTAGGTATTATTTAGAGAGCACATACTATGAACCAGGCTAAATGCTTTACACACCTTTTTTTCAATTTAATCTTTATTTTGTTATGAGCTAATATTATTATGACTGTATTAACCAGTGGCCTAGTAGGAAACTGATGACACATTCTTAGCAGAGAGTTTAACAAAGGGACAATTGAGGGTTTAGTTGGTGTTTAGGGAAGCAACAATAATGCAATCCTTGGGGCTTGTGGGCCTCAGGGGGGAGAGAGGGTAGCTGATGAAGAGGGCTACTACCCAGGAGCTGTGTTTTTTGTTATTGTTTTAAAACTTGCTTTTGCTTTCATATGGCAGGTGAGTTTCATTCAAATGAAGGCTGTCAAATCTATTCATCCTATTAATCATTCATTTTCATAAAATAGATTTTTGGCTTCGTGGGTTTGACAAAAGCTTTCTTTGGGTACCTATGATATGTAAGAGACTCAGAGCATAGTAGATGCTTCTACGGACATGTATCTAATAAAAACTTTACCTTCATGGGGAGATGACTTCACCCAGATAAACAACTTACACTCTGTCTGGTATTTTCACAGTCTTGCTTTTTTCAAAACAGTTTGCCATAATTTTCATTAATTATCCTCAGAATCAGTTTTTAGATGCCTGGACTATTTGAGCTGCAAAGGCCCTTAACAGTCATTTAATAGAGCCCCTTGTGGAGCATTGGGCCTGAGATTTTATTCCTCCGAGTGCCTGGCATTGGACTTTAGATAGTATCCACCAAAAAATGGAATCTCCTCCTGATGTCCTAGCCAGATACCACTCCCTCAAAATCCTGGCTTCAGGATTGGGTAGAGAGAAGATACATTTTTAAAATTCTGTTGTATCTTACTTTTGGTTAGTGTTCACAGAACAATTTTTCTTTTTGAGGTTGTGAGGTTTATTTTATTTATTTATTATTTTTATTCACCATAAAAACATTTCTAGAAAGGGATGATCTTAACTTATTTGGGATATTTGAAATAGCCATATGTTCTCAATATGTTTCCTTTTCTGCTTACGGTCATTAACTCTGAGGGAATCTGCATTAAAATCACCTTATACCCATACACATATGTATTTATAGTTATATATATTTGTATGTTCCCTCTGAGGCATATGCTTTATCCAAAAAATACCCTAAATAATTGCAACCTTAAAACTTCACATTAATACAGGACAGGGAAGGAAAATATGAATTTTAAGTCACTCATATTGTAAAGCTCAAGAACTTGGAAAAACACTGAATACTTGGAAAATTACTGGAACAAATCATCAAAAAAATCAATTTGCAAACACCTAGAAGACCACAGGGTACTGGGTAATCATCCCACATAGCTTTGTGAAAAACAAAGCTTATCAGATGAATCTAATTTCCTTTGTCACAGTGACAGGCATGGTGGATGTGGGGAGCAGTCAAGATAATCTGTCCTGATTTAAGAAAGCTTGGGATTTTCTACTTTGTTGTGTACTCTCGAAGAAATTGAAGAAGAAGAAAACATAGATAAGGTTATTACCCTCTGGCAGTAACACATTTAAACCTGAAATTCAGGGCTCAGCTTCACCCAGATAAGCAACTTACACTCTGTCTGTGCAAAAATGACCTCATCCTCCTCCCCAAGTCTCTTTTGCCTGGATGCCTTGTTTTTGTAAGTATCACTCAGGTTCTGTTTGCACAAATTACTTCATCTCTCTGCTCCTCAGTTTCCTTAACTCTAAAATGGGGGTAATAATAGGACGTATGTCATAAGGTGGTAAGGATTAGAGGAGATAAATGCGTATAAAGTGTTTGGCCCAGTTTGGAGCCAATGAATACTGGTTGCCACCACCGGCACCCTCACCATCATTATCATGTTTAGTTCCTCTTTTTCCTGGACTTCTAATCACAGTGTTAATTCTGATCGTTTCTCCCTCTTCTGTGGCACCCACACATGTCCTTCTTTTTCTTTTTTCTTGCATTTATTGGGGTGACATTGGTTCATAAAATTATATAGGTTTCAGGTGTACAATTCTATAATACACCATATGTATATTGTACTGTGTGTTCACCACACCAAGTCAAGTCTCCTTCCACTTAGATGCCCTGTGCTGGGTCAGATGGTGGTGTTCCGTGGACTGCTGCAATAGGCACCAAGCTAGCTTCTCTGTCCCCCATCTTTTCCATGTCACATTCTGCTGCCCCACACAGCTTGGAGCCGAGCATGCTGCTCCCCTGCACCTAGACCTACAGGACTTGGGCCTGCCAGGCGCTTCAAACCTACCTTTGCAGCCGAATTCTTACCTCTTTCCTCCATGAAACCCAGAATCCAATTAATTTCTCATTGTGTCCTGTATTTGGCCTTTTCTCCACTGAAATTCTCTTATGCCCTTTCTCTAAGTATCTGCATCTTATCTCCATGATTTAAAGCTTAATTTAAATGTTACACCCTTCATGTTACACCCTTACCTCTCCTGCCAATGGGAACCTCTTCTGATTCTCCTTAGCATCTGTGAACTTCTCTTCTGATACAAACTCCTCTCTAACCTCAGGCCTTAGCTTAGATGTGATTTCCTCTGCAAGTCTCCCCTGCCCCACTGACAGTGGGTGAGATGCTTTGCTCAGATGTTTCTCTCTCATTGAATTTACCACACTGCCGTGGCCCCACTAGATTGTACACTCCAGGGCCAGTGCCCTGCGCACAGCAAATAGGTAAATAGTATGAGCCAGACAAGGACTGTGCTGTCAGCACAGTTATAGAAAACCACAGGAACTAGTTCAGGACCAAGAGAGAATCATTGGCGTAGATAACCAAGCTGCGGGAAGTGGAGTGGCATGGCTGGCCTCAGAGACAACCTATTCTCATCTGTTATGGACCAGCTGCTTCCGCGTGGCAGGGGATCTGGGTACCGCCAGCTCCAGGTTCATTCCTCACAGCTTCCCCAGCTGAGAGGGAAGGCCCTTCTTAGTTTCTGTTGGAAAGTGTTGGGGAGGAATTCGACCTCATCTGCGTCCTGTGCTCTCTTATAATTATGATTGGCAGCCCTTGGTAGAACCACATGGTGGAAAGGAAGGAGGAACAGGGATTAAAATTGAGCCCAAGAAATGAAATCGCAGTGATGGTTGCACAACTTTGTGAATATACTAAAACTCCTCGAATTGTAAAAGGCTAAATCTTATGGTATATGAATTATCTCTCAATAAAGAAATGATGAAAAAAATTAAGCCAGAGATAAAGTCTTACTGGAATGAGTATTTTTTATATTCCTTTTATTTGAGTTATTCATTTATTACACAAGCATTTATAGTGTGCTTACGATGTGCCAGCACTGATCTAGATTTACACTTTAGTTGGGGAAGCACACACACACACAAACACATAAGTAAGGTGAGAAGTTTGAATTTCATTCTAAATGTGATAGAAAATCTCGGGAGATTTAAGCACGGAGAGAATTCCACCCCCACGAGGAGCCCCTGGATTGGAGGGGCTTTGAGAGTCTTCTGGTCTCGTCCCCGGCACCAACCACACTTTCCTAGGAAGATGAGAATATTTTAGCGGATCTCTTGAGATGCCTTTCATAACTACATTATCAGAATTTGGAAACTGTCATAAAATAAAGTTTCCTTGTGGACTAACCTAGATTTCATTATACTTTACTTTCAGCCCATTTGCCAGAGTTAGCCAAATTGCAAAGTTAGACTGCCCTCACTTCACCACCTGCAAGTTTTTTTTTTGTTTGTTTGTTGTGGGGGGGTGTTCCTCATCCACCCTCAGATTGGAGGATGCATGCTAGGAGAACCGACAGAACTCACTGAAAGGATACAAGTTAAAATCAGCCAGAGGAAGAGCTACCTAAGGCAGAGACTGGGAGGATTCCAAATACCAAACTTCTATTGTCCTTTCTCCCCGTGGAGTCATACTACATTACCCTCCCAGTAGTGATGTGTGACAATATGCATGGAATATTGCCAACCAGAGAAGCTCATTTTAGATTTTATCGGGTCTTCATTATGTAGGCATGATTGATGGAATGATTGATTGATTGTCCATGTGGTTGAACTCAGTCTCAGAGACTTTATCCTAAGACATATGGTTCATCTGGCAGGGCCTGCTAACACTTTAAAACTATCAGGTGTGGCCAGCCTCTACCCTAAATAAAGATAGTCCTAACAGGTATGACATAGCTTACTTCCCAGGATCCAAGGGCAAAAATCAGATCTCTCTTTGGAAGCTCATAATCTTGAGTACGGGCCATTTTTCCTAGTTTTCTTCTCAAAGGACTTGGAGGAGACAGGATAGGTTATTGCCACAAGCAAAACATAGGCAAGTGTTCAGGGCAGAGGCTTGTACTGGCTCTGGCTTCTCTGTCCCCCTCCCCCCAGGCTTTCTAAGAGGAAGTTCCAGAAAGAGGGGTGAAGAGTGGCTGTGGGGAGCAGCAGGTTCTCTCTGAGGCCCACACTCTTTGGCTGGCTGCCTCACATCCCCACCCTCTGGTCTTAAAATGGAAACAGTGGGCCCTTGGGGTATGCCTGATGCTGGGAATTTCTGCCTCATCAGAACAGCAGGTTAGTTTGAGGGGTGTCACCTGCACTAGGATTTCCACTGGAAGCCCAAAAGTTCCGGAATGGCAGAAGATGGATGCCTGTCAGGATTTAGTCCAGAATTTGTAGCATTTGACAGTGGACCTGGGGAATTCACCATTTTATCAGGGACCCCACCCCCACCCAGTGGGTTTTAGTTACTTTGACCTAACCTAACAGCAGTCTGGTTGCATCACCTTTTACCCTGACTGTTTTTGTATAAACTTAGCAAGTCCATTTGCTAGAGGCAGCAATCCGAAACATTTCTATCTTGCCTGGCTATCCAGTGCTGTTTTCTATTCTAAGCTCTAATGTAGGAATTGGTGGTGGTGGCGGCGGCGGTGGTGGTGGTGGTGGTGAGGTCACGTAGAGGAAGGCAGGAGATTTTATAAGCATCAGATGTGTTCATTGAGTAAGGTGTAAACCGTGAAGCTGTCAGAATCAGAAGCTGGAGTAATTTTCCATAACCTGTGCTCATTAATGTCCTGATCGGGGTTAATGGATTCAAAGGAGGCGAAGAGAACAATGCACTAAGGGAAGTGAAGTAGGAATAATCAGAATTTGGCAACAGCTCGGCGGTGGGGTGTTTGGGGAAGGGATGATTTGTTGACAACCCCAAGATGACAAGTATCCCCAGAGAGACAGAGAAGTGGGGCAGAGAGAATGAGATTTGTCTCCTCTGACAAATTTGAGGCACTGTTGGGACATCTAAATGGAGCAGCCTAAGAGCACAGGAAATCCAGGCTGGAGCACCTGTGAAAGCAGACACCTATGCGGGCAGTTGTCATTTTCAGGCAAATAGGAGGCTTAGGGGTTTTGTCCCTGAACACTGCCTGGCTGTTTCAAACAGTGGGTGAGGGGCAGAAAGGAGCGTGATGAGCATGTGATGGGAAGGTAAGAGAGGTTCTGTCATGTACCTGGCCCACAGTGACAGAAGCAAACTTTGTATGTAAACCTCTACACCTGCAGTGACAGACATCTCAATAGCAACATCATAGGTTATGATAGATTTGATATTTATGATGATAATTTTCTGGCAGATGGTAGCAAAGTGTCTTGAGGTAGGTGTGACTTTTTCTGATTTGTTCAAAGTTACTATATAGGCTAGCAGAGGCTCTGGGGTGCTTGTTAGGCTATTTTTAAAGTAAGTCTTAGTTAATAAGGTCTGCAAATTTTCCAGTCCCTTCTGATCTTGCTATATTATGTGAAGAATCAGGCATTTTAATGTTGGCACCCAACTTCTTTTTTTTCTAAATATATTTTTGTTGATTTCAGAGAAGAAGGAAGAGATAGAAACATCAATGATGAGAGAGAATCATTGATCAGCTGCCTCCTGCATGCCCCCACACTGGGGATTGAGCCTGCAACACAGGACCTGGGCATGTGCCTTAGACCGGAATTGAACCTGGGGTCTTTCAGTCCACCGGCTGAAGCTCTATCCACTGAGCTAAACCAGCTAAGGCCTCACCCATCTTCTTGCATATGCTTTGTGTGTGATTGTGGGACACACTGGAAAGGTGAGTTGGTACAAATTTCAGGGAAAACCGTTTGGTGTATGTTGCATATCAAGAGCTACACATGTGTTTCTTTTATCTGGTAATTTTACTTTTAGAAATCTACATCAAGGAAAGAGTCAGAGAAAGGTAAAAATATAGATTTATGAACAAATGTTTTTCCTTAAAGCATCATCTATCATTAAAAATAATTGAAATGGATAAAAGATCCTGCAATAGGAGAATGATTGAGCAAATGGTACATCCATATGATGGAATATTGTACAGTAGTATTATATACAACGAAGGTTATTTACCAGTAAACACAGAAAAAAAAAGCAGTATCACAAATTTTAAATATAGTTTGAGTCCAACTTTGTATTATAGAAGGAAACATACACATACATATAAACAGGAAGGAAATACACCAAGAAGTTAATAGTGGCTATATCTGGGTGGTAGAATTACAAGTGATTTTATTTTTTCCCTTATACTTATTGCAATTTTCTATATTTTTTGAAATGAGTATGTAATTGCTTTCATAATCAGCAACTTATTTCCCTGAAATAAATTCATATAACTAACTTGGGAGTCTGTGTTGAGTATGTTGAGAAAGTGTATATGAAATGTCCTATAGTAGTGTGCTCTCAGCTACCCCTCCCCACCCCCACCTCCAGCACAAGTGTATTTTAGAGCTGTCCAACCTTCTGTGGGCCTTTATTTGCTGCTGTCTCCATTTAAACTCGGGTTCCTGGGCTGACCCCTGCAGTGGACGGGAGAGAGCAATGAAGAGAGGCTTCAGGCCCATTGTATCAGCCTTCCTGCTCTCACCCAGGGTGATGTGGGCAGTCTATTTTTTTATCCGAAAACATAATCTGAATGCCTTGGGGCTTGCATAGGAAATGCCATTTTAGCTATATAGGAAAAACAAAACCAAACCCCCAAAACTAAGAGCTTTTTTTCTAGTGGTTAGAGACTGTTTAAGTGCACAGCATAGATCCTGTTAGGTCTTACTCATCTGGTAACTTTATCTGTCAGAGCACTGCCTTGTCTTACTGCTCTTTTGCAAATGAAGATCAAAGTGCCTTTGTTTTTTAAAAAATATTTCAAATGGAGTTTTGATCCACTACTCTTTAGCTGGTGTAAAAGGCCCTGGGGAGATTTGTCGAAATGAATTTCTATATAGAGAATCACAATAATTTGAAATTCTTATTTGAAGGTTAGCAGAAACAACTAGTATTTTCACAACCGGAAAAGAGGCCAGTGTCAGATATGACAAAATAATAAAAGGGAAACAAAATTCATCCCATGTTAGATTCAATAGTGATAAAAACAAAATGAAAACCTTAGCTATTTAGAGAGTGCTTAACCTTTTACACACAATCTTCTGAGGGCTTGATATAAATGTATCTATATACATACATCTATATTATAAAAAATTCAATTTCCAAGAAAGTTAGACCCCCCAAGATTTCATAAATTTCCAATTTACTACTCAATTACTCTTTTTTTTTTCAGGTTGTGTGCCCCAAAGAGACCTATAGGGAGGGGGACATAGCAAGTAAGACTGTAGTTTTTCTCTCAGGTAAATGAAAACATTTAAATGTTTCTAGTGAGTCTATAATTATTCAAAAAATGAAAATTAAAAGAAGCTAAGTGAGAATGATAAACATAAGGAACCTAAGGACTATGTAGATCAACTATATTGACTACAACAGTTTACCACCACCGTGGCATAAAGGTAAAGTTGGATGCTGGCGAATGCAGGGGATTGGGTTGGGGTAGGGAGTAGAGAGGATGTAGAGAGACCAGAAGAGAAAAACCTAGGCTTCTACTCTTCTACCTCCAGAGAGTAGAAGCAACAGTTGTATTTCCTTGAATATGTTGGGGGAGGGCAGTGGGGGCAAGGGACAGTGCTAGTTTGCTGTGTGGGCTTTTTTGTTGTTTAGTTGTGGATGACTAGGTGTCAATGTGTGCTCCCAGCATTGCAGTTGGATTCCACTGTGGACACCGGAAAGGTCCTTGGTTCCTTTCCCCACCACTGACTTCTTGCCTGTTCCACCCAGTGCTGAGTTGGGTCAAACAAGTTCAACAATTCTTGGGAATGTTCTGAGGGATCAAGTGTGCAGCCAATGTAAGATTCTTTTTTAGGCTCGTGCACAGATTCATTCTCCAACTTCTGCTTGGGCCACAAGCCACTGGCAAGCAAAATGATCTCAGTGACCAGGTACTCGGCAGAAGGCATTGCACGTGGGGCAGCGTTACGTCACTGGTTATGTTCCTGGATGCTGCTGCTCGACCCAACCCCTTCTGGCGAGATTTCCAAGGGGCAGAAAATTTTAAACCACCAGCAGGTCTGGTCAGAGAACCTTGGCTCCTTTCACGAGCCTTTTTTGAGCACAAAAGCTGGTTCCATGCAGAAAGTGGTTGCCCAGCACACAGCTCTGAATAGAGCCCTTTGCAAATTCTTTTCAATTTGCCTCATAAGCTGAGCTCATGCTCCTTTTCTGGCAAAGACACTGTGGAAAATTCCCTGAACATAGAGAGCTGGCTCCATTTCCTAGCAATTCTACGAAGTTTTCTCTCGGTGATGGTAAAATTAGAGCAGCTTAAACCTCTCCAAGGCATCTAAAACAAAGAGTACATTGGGCACCGGTGACAAGAAACAGAGCCCCACTTTTCAGCATGAAGCTTGTAGAATTTAGACTCAATCTGAGGTGGAAGGTTTGATTACAGTGACTGTTTCAACTTGGGGCCTGCTGAGACATAGGCGGTCCCCGGATATTTCGAAGTTCTTGGCAAAGCTTTTCTAGACTGTGTAATCTATTTTGTCATCTGTAATCATACGCAAACATCTACTAACTTTATCTATATGTATATAAAGAGCCAGGGGCCGTCACATCCGAAACAACCAAACAGGGACCGAACAGACTGAGTGGGGTGACAAGGCCAGCAGGGCGGTTAGTGAGGGATGACCAAATGACTGAGCAGCAGGCAGCATAGGGCGACCAGGCTGGCCGGGGGCGGGGGAGGGGGAGAGTGGGCAGTGAGGGGTGACCAAATGACTGAATAGCAGTCTGCGTCAGGCAACCAGGCCAACAGGGGTATGGGCAGTGAGGGGCGACCAGGCTGGCAGAAGGAGCCAGTGAGTGGCGACCAAGCTGGTGGGGGTGGGGGAAGTTGGGGGCGACCAGGCCAGCAGAGGGGGGCCGAGAGGAGTGACCAGGCCCATGGGTGGGGGGCCAGTTGGGGGCAACCAGATCGGTAGGGAGGGCAGTAAGGGGCAACCAGGCTGGAGGGAAAGGGAGTTAGGGGTGACCAGGCTGGCAGAGGGAGACTGTTGTGGGCAACCAGGCCAGCAGGGGGGCCAGTTAGGGGTGATCAGGTCGGCAGGCAGAGGTGGTTAGGGGTGATCAGGCTGGCAGGCAGGTGAACAGTTAGGAGCCAGCGATCCTGGATTGTGAGAGGGATTTCCGACTGCCGGTTTAGGCCCGATCCTCAGGACAACCGGCAGTCGGACATCCCCTGAGGAGTCTCAGATTGGAGAGGGTTCAGGCTGTGCTAAGGGGAATCCCCCCCACCCCCCATGCACAAATTTCATGCACCGGGCCTCTAGTAGAGAAATAAAACTGAAGGAGAATCTATATAGCCCGGGGGCATGGCTTCATCTTCAACACACAACTTGGGATTGATTCTGCCAAAGTGTGATCTTGGGGGAAATTCTGCATTTTCTTCAAATACCAGTTCTTCATCTAAAAAAACAACACAGAAATGCAATGTCTGCATTTTAAGGTGAATGTGAGAATGACTGAATGAACTATCAAGCAAGGTGCCTAACAGGCACATCAAGATTCTTACCTTTCTCTCTTTCTACTCCCCATCCTCTTTTCCTGTCTCTGGAGCTGTGATTTTCAAACTGGTTTAATTGCTGGAACTTAAAAATTTTCAAATAATTGTGTACACAGAAGACAGACATAGAAAACAGATAAAAACACAAAGCTGGCAGAAAGAACATGCCGGGTTTGCTCCCTCTCTTCTTTGGAAGATAGAAGCTTCCTGCAAGTTGAGCATTATTTGGTGGCCTTGTTCATTTGCTGGGAGACCCTGGGGAATACGGGCACATTCTCTCATTGATTGGATTGCTGGCCCCTGTGCTGCTTCCCTGCCCCCGCCCATATCCCGGCAACTGAAAGCTTCCCATGCAGGACTCTGGTGGGCTTGGGGTTTAAATAAAAGCACTTTGGGCCAGAGCCCTTTCCATTCTGGTGGTTTTCTGAAGAACTCACGTTCTGGAGGGAGGGCAGGGTGAGCTGCCCGAAAGCTCTTAGTTGCCCTCAGTCAGCAGTTTGATGAGAACTACGTGAGTTCTTGTTTTATGCTCACGTGTCAGAAAGTGGGGAGGAGCTCGGTGTACGCAATCCTTTCCTCAGGTTTGTGTGCTTAGCAGATTTGTTAAAAAATTGATTTTAGAGAAAGAGGAAGGCAGAGGGAGAGAGAGAAACATCGATCAGTTGTCTCCTGTACATGCCCCAAGCAGGGAATCAAACCCATAACCTACGTATGTGCCCTGACTGGGAATTGAACCCATGACCAGGATGATGTTCCAACCAACTGAGGAACACCACCCAGGGCTGTTTACCAGATTTTTATTGGCACATGGGAAAGACTGATGGAATGAGGCATCCTGGTGCAAGCAGGGGTCAAAGGGTAAATTACAAAACTCTTGGCTGTGAACTGGGCTCTATCAAGCTCTGCTCTTGCTGTGCGTGCCTTTCCTTGTGGAGGTGGCCTCAGCATGAGGCTGTTCCTGTGGGTGGCCTCGGATGCTACGCAGCCAGGCAGGGAAACTCGGCATAGCCACAAGGGCTCCAGCAGGTGCACCCCCACCCCACCCCACGTGACTTGACCTATCCCTCTGTTTGGGCTCTGGTCCAATGCTTTCATTTAGACTCCAAGCCCACCAGAGCCCTATCCTTGTCTCCTCCTCATGTTGTCCCATGATTTCCTTTCCTGCAGGACCTCCCAGAACCTTGGAAATAGTGGTACATCCCTCCCCCCGGGGAGGAGGGACATCCCAGTGCTGGGAAAGGGCTTCTCCCCTTTGTGTGATCACAGATTGCCGGGTCTGAGGATGAGGACAGCCTGGACTCCTGCCCTGAGCTGGGAACTGGAATGTACAGTAGTGCTTTCAGATCTGAGTCATCAGTAAACAGAGCTATTATGCTCTGTGTCTGATGTGTTCTCTCTTCTGCTGGGCTGCCTGTGGTTACCATGGATATGGCTTTGTCTTTGGAGGTCTATAACCAAGGACGATTTAAGTAAATCCTCATGGGTCAGTATTTCCCCAAAACAAAACAAAACAAAACAAAACAAAGAAAGAAAGGGGGGTGGGTGGAAAGGGCACACTTTCTTAAGCAATTCCAAGAAACCCTTAAACCTTTCTGTAATCATTACCAAAATAACAGCAGAAACTTCAGGCTTTAATTGCCAGAACCTAAATGGATACACATTTAAAAAAAAAATACTAAGAATTAGAAAGATGAAGTCCACTAATGGCTCTGATTGTGGAGGATAAAATTATGGTATTTCCAGTTGAGTGTTTTAGACAATATAGTTATCTGTGTGTTTTTGTTGTTGTTGTTTGTTTGTGGGTGTTTTGTTTTTTTTTTTGCCAGTGCTTATTTTTCCAGAATGTTCTTGATTTGCCATTCCTAAGATGTGTCATATTCCAGCATATAAGTGAACCTGTGCTTCATGCAAACAGTGGTTGTCTCTACCTGACACGGGGGATTCAGTGACATTTGGTAATGACTATGGAAGTGGGTAGATTGATTTAAGAAGGCTAAAAAAAGAAAGAAGACTCGGTCCTGTGTAGTAACCAAAGGGCTCTGGCGTCTTTGTTTGAAATACATGCACATGCTCCTGTGATTTCTCATAAGTTACTCTGGGGAAAGATCCTGCCACCTGGGAAAGTGATGACAGAAACTGAGACGGGTGGGGTGGGGTGCAGCTACAGCCCCTCCATGCTTTGGTGCTTTGTTTAAGGGCTGCATACTTCTTAATGGGATCCCTTTGTGTATATTTCTTTGTGTGTTTCCAGGGATCACACTGCCCTGGCCAGGGAAGCAAGACGAGGGTCCTAGCTGAGGTGCCCATAAGGTGGAAAGAGCTGCTTCCATAGCAGTGTGCACACTGGCATCTCCATGCTGCCCCCACCTCTCACGGTGACATCCCACCTGCTTCCTTGTTCCTTGTCATTGGCAGCAAGATGCTTCCACTGAAGAAGGAGCATCTGTGCTGCAATTACCCAGTGACCTCTTTACCTGAAGCGGGGGAAAAAGGATTTCAATTTCCTTTCTGTGTGCTTGCTTTCACCTGCTTGTACATATAGTCCTGATTAATCCACAGCCTCTCCTTGCTCACCTTCCTCAGGGTGTCTCCCTAGTCCCAGCCTGTGATGTTAACCACTGGAACTTTCTGAGAGGAGGATTATGGCACTCGTGCCAAGCCCTCTGCCATTGTTACGGACAGACAGGGCAACAGCGCTGCTGGCCCATTGCCACCAGGGTCAGTGGTGTCCTGCCT